TAGCATTGTATTGTTGACTAGTGGATCATTACAAAATTATATATATTTGAAATTAAGTTTATAATCATAAATATTTATTTATAAATGGAGATATGTGATTTATCAATGGGGTGTCTTAAGATATTTTTATATTTTATTTATGAACTATGATTTGCACAAATAAGATTGTATAAGAATTGGAGAAATTTTAATAGATTTTATAACTTGTGGAATTTTTCCATATTTATGAGAAAAAACACAACTCAAAAAATCCAAATTGCTTGCCCAAATAAAATTTCAACTTCATATCAATGTGATTTCAAATTGTGATTCAAAGTAGCTCCAAATTAATAAATGAATGACATTAGGCGTGTGGTTTTTTTCCCTCTTAATCATGTTAATTAATTGAAGCTTATTTATTAAAAAAAATAAATGAATTTCTGTATCAGTATGGTCATCAATTATATTAAACTTTTTATAGTGAGTAGTGTAAATTTGTAAACTGAAAATGAAAAAAAAAAAAGGAAGAAGGTCATTTGTAATTGTAACAATTGATTAAAATACACATATATGAATTAAGATACATGATGCCAGCTGACCAATTCAACTACATTGACATCAATCTTATACATTTGCACATTAATATTGGAACATTATTGATTAAAAACTTTCATGATTGGTTTTATTATTACTGTTTTCTTAGGAGTATCTTTTAACTGTAGTTGATATTAGTTAGCTGGAAGAATAGTAACTTGCCTAGAAAACCTGAGACAACAGCTTCACCTATTGCTATTCGAAACTCATGCTACAAAACATACTCTTTTTTTTCTCATTTGCAATCATTAATCCCTTTGTTTTTACTTAATAATGAGATATGTTCTCACTTGATTAAAGTATATATTTGACCACTTTAATTTGTTGGAAAAAAGAAAAACACTAACATAATCATTTACTCGATGTAATAGTCTCAAGGTCCACTATCACACGGCAATAGTTTATAAACCCTAGATAGATGGGCCTAAAGGGCAAAATTTCCTGTTGAACTATGTGAAATGATATAGATTTGTCATTTATTAATAGTTGAAGTCAAATATGTCTTCTTATTGTTAAAATGGGCTAGGTTTGCTCTTATATTCAAACCACGGAAGCTTAGCTAGCACTCGATGATATTTGTGTATTCCAACAATAAACTAAAAGATAAATAGAGGTCGCGCCACATATGCTTCTTACAAAAGTAGCTTAATTATACAAACGTACGTACTTGTGAATTATACAAACTCACTTGTGAATTATACAAACTCACCTGCAAATTATACAAATAAGACAACTTAACTATAACTATAACTCATAAATATGCAAACTACAGCTATGGGGAACAATTAAGTTTAATTTATTATAGTGGTTATCTGTGGAAGTTCTCATTTATTATCATTTATAAGGTAATCCAATTTGAAACACTACCTCATGTTCTTAGTTCTAACTTGTGCTGTGTGATGGGCTTTTATTTGAACAGATCTTACCATTTTGGCCCAAATTCTTCAATATGGCCCCAAGACCATTTCCGGCTAGACTAGGCTCATGACTTAAATAATCCAATTACTATTAACAAATTATATTTTGTTTCATTTGAGAATATTTTGTTTTTCATTATTCTCATTTCATATTGCGGCATAAGTACATTTGTTTTTTATTCATAAAAGGTTATTTGGATTACTCTATCACACAGTGATACAATTGGTAATGCTTCTGCCTTTTTTTTAAAAAAAAAATTGAAATGAAATTATTTCGAAATACTAACTGAAATAATAAAAACTTTTGCTTTAATGTATCATTCTTTACGCAAAAAAATATGCTTTATTAACATTGAAATTATGTTTGGATCAACCGTATATATACACATACAACACTGAAAGACTAATTTGAATAAATAAAGAGAATGCGAGAAAATGACATAAATAGTCTCTTAACTAAAGAGTAGGTCTAAAATGATCCTTTAACTATACACTTAACAGATTTAGTCATTTAACTATTTAAAAACTTGTCAGCTTTGGTCCCTTAACTATATACTTATCGGTTTTAGTTCCTTAACTATAAACTTATCGATTTTAGTCCTTTAAGTATTAAAAAGTTTATCAGGTTTAGTCTTTGTCTTTTTTTTTAATACAAATAGTTTAGGTTTATATTAACAAAAATCTTCGTAAAATTAAATCTTTAACCCATTTTTTAAGTTGTTTCTCTATCCCCGCCCTTTTTTCTTCAAACTACTCTTGTGAAAAGAATAATAACGTCAACGATTCAAAAATAAAATTAATGAGGAAAGAAGATATAAATCCTAATTTTATTTAATGGAGGATAAAATTAAGCATATAATTGTTGTTAATGACTTGAATCTGCACTTGAATATGCTAGTAAGTGCGGACTTTATTTAATTTACTCAAATTTATTAACGTAAAATAAAATGAATAAAATAATAAAATTGATCTATTTTTTTAAAAAAAATTGCAAATCTACCATTTTATAAATTTCAAATTTTGTTCAATGAAGTCGTTGGAGTATAAACTTTGGATTTAACAGGTAATAATATTTTTTTTATAATAAAGTTTAGCATATTAAAGTCATTAGTAGCAATAATATGCTTCATTTTATCCTCTATTGAATAAAAATATGACTTATATTTTCTTTCTTGGTGAATTTTATTTTAAATTGTTGAGGTTAAGGTTCTTCGTATAAGGTTATTTTGAAGAAAAAGTAGCGGAGAGAGAGAAACAACAGAAAAAGTTGCTAAAGGATTTAATTTCTCGAGGCATGGATTCCATTAATATTAAGTGAAGCTATTTGTATAAAAAAAAATGGACAAAGACCAAACCTGATAAGTTTTTGAATACTTAAATGACTAAAATCGGTAAGTTTATAGTTAAGGGACTAAAATCGGTAAGTGTATAGTTAAGGGACTAAAACCAGTAAGTGTATAGTTAAGGGACCAAAGCTGATAAGTTTTTGAATAATTAAAGGACTAATTCCGATAAGTGTATAGTTAATGAACCATTTTAGACCTATTCCTATAGTTAAGGGACTATTTATGTCATTTTCTTAGAGAATGCAAATCTATTTTTATTCAACTCCTTTGCCACTAATACTTCCAAAATGAAAAAGGTATACTTTAGAGAAAAAATAAATAGGAACAAAACATTTGTATACTCAATGGTTTTTTTTTCACACACCTAATGTCCTAATCCCACCAAAAGAAGCAGAAAAGAAATTAAAGGAATTATATAATGAATGTTTTGTGTGATTGTTTGGTCATGTGGGCACTTTACACCGTCCTAATGTTAATTATTTAAGGGACAATAATCACTTAGTCGCTATCTTTGACAATTAAGTAGTTTTAGGCCAACTCTCTTATTAATTACTTCCCCTTTTTGCTACCACCATATTTACCTAACTAGTATTATTTGAGTCACCAACCTTTTAAGGTTTAGGTATACTACGTTCTTTATTTCATTATTAATTAAGCTTTTTATATTTACAATAGCTACTTAATTATTGTATTTAAAGGATGTTAAGCCGAAATGTTGAGGTGAATTTGCGTGAATTAAAATAAGTTTGAGCTAGTAAATAAACATATAATTGTTGTTTGGCCGGGTTGATCAATATGAATGTCCAACCTATCCAATTCTTACATAATTTTAATTTCTTTATTTATTAGTTACTTAATTATCTAAAAGAAAAATTCCATAACTATATTTTACGACATATTCAAACAAAAAAAATTATTTAAGGTTTTTCATTGGTTAAATTGAATTACTTATTTTATTAAGTTAGTCTAATTCATAAATGGACATATTGAATGGATCAAGACGGCTTAAATTAATAAATAAATGAATTATTAACCTGCTTAAACTCAAACAGATTAGCACCCTAAATCAGATTGACCTTTGGACGTTTCTTGGCCTTTCTTTGCATCTTTTCAAAATACTTTTAGATTGCGAGGAAACTTAATTGAAAAGTTTGCCGAGGTCAAATATGCAAAATAATATAAATAAAATGAACTATAGACTAATACTCCATTGAACATATGCTTCAGTATTAAGTAAGCAACTTTTTTATTTAAACAAAATTTGTTTTTGGAATTTACCATTTTGACGGAAGAAAAATATTTTAAAATCATAAATTTTTTATTAACTGAATCTTCATCAAAAAGGCGAAAATTCAAATAGTCAATCAATTAAGCTACGAAAAAATTCCTTAAACAAAATCTAACTCAAATAATTAGATTAAAGCATATACTGATACTACTAATAGGATTATAGGTCAATTCCACCACTAACATATTTGTCTTTTTCTCTCAATTTAGATTGGTTATTGCTCCTACTATTTGTGAGTCAATAATTACATTTGTGTGTGAATGAAATTTTACATTAGACGGTAACTCAACAAAGCCTACAATAAAAAACACTATATAATTATTAAGTACTGAATAATGGAATATTTATTATACATTTGTTATACAAAGTATACCTAGACTATATTTGTTACTCTCAATTTATATTATATGATTCACTTTCTTTTTTAGTTAATTTAAAATATATATATATATATATATATTTATATATTAAATGTTAATAATTAATTTTTAAAATATCTATTTTGCCCTTAAAGAAATAATTTATAGTCACACAAATATTTTTTATTTATTTAGATCACAATTTTAAATATCTTTTTTTTTTCTTCTTATCATATAAAAGTAACTTATATAAAATGAAACGGATGTAGTATTATTCTTGGTATTTTTGTAGAATTCTTATGGAGTACTAGACTTGCTGGCTGCTGTCTTAACTAGGTTTCCTAGTTCAGTTTAACAGTGAGAAATTTGTCAGTAAAAATTTACCATGGATAGGGGACACGTGTCAAGAATATATTATCTAGCTTTTGTGCATCAGAAAAGCTTTACCAAAATAACTGACCCCACCCCACCCCACCACCCTACCTTTCTTTTTGAGTATAAACTTTTCCACCACTAAAATACAAAATAGTACAACACAATATCCCATCATCTTTGTTCTTAGAAGCTTAACAAAAACAGCCACACTTCTTTCTTCTTAAATCTTGGAAACCATCTGTTGTTATTTTGTTTGTTTGATTTAGGTATCTTATTCAACAAAATCTGAAAACCCCTATATTCTTTGCTTCAATTACAAGAAGAAGCTGACTAATACAACTTTGATAAATTCAAGAAATTTGGAAAAATGGATGTGGACTTTTGGGCTGCAAGAATAAATTCAGCAAGGCATAATCTCTCTGCTGTACAAACAAACAGGCTCAGCAATTATGGTATTTATTTATCATATTGCATCACTTGTTTTTGTCTTATGAAATTTTCTTTTAACTCTTGCCTTATTGTTTCTGTTAGTTAAAATTTCTTGAAGGCTTTTATTTAAGTCTCCTGTCTAAGGGGGGTTTTTTAGTACAGAGTCTAATAATCTTTTGAGTATTTTGGATTTTGTGTGGTGATTAATGAGGTTAGGACCATAAAGATTCTTTATTTCAGAAGATGCTTAACTCCTTGCTTTTCATCTTCTCTTCTTGACTGTCTTTTGTATGATTTCATGAATAGAGGGATAATTTTAAAATGAAAAAAAAATGAGTCAGACTTCCAACATCTACTATATGGTTGGATTCATTTGCCATTCAACTTTTTTGACTTAGAAAAAATACAAATAACCATGGGGTGGATGACTTGCTATTCCACTTATTTATGTCATTTCCTTACATAATTTACTTCCTAAAGTGCAAAGCACATGATGGTATCTTTTGAAAATCAAGCAGATAGTCTCTCAAATGTGGATAATACTCAAGGAGAAGAGGATGTAAGAGCCTGGTTCCCCTGCCCTTTCTGTTATGTTGAAATTGAAGTCCAGATGCTTTGCAACCATTTGCAAGAAGAGCATTGCTTTGACTTTAAAAACGCGGTAATGCAGACAGCTGATGTTAATGGTTTCTTATGTTACATTATTAAAACATGTGTTGTGTCAAATGGGAATGAACAATGATCTGTTGTTTTTCTTGAACAGGTTTGTCCCATTTGTGCTGCAACATTAGGTAAAGATCCTCTGGGGCATTTTATGGTACAGCATGCACAATCAGTCAAGGTAAGCTTAGTTCACTGAGAAGTGACAAGTACACAAGTTTTCGATTATTAGCATCCATGTAGTGAGCAAACACCTCTCTTCCTACCTATTTATTTTTTTGCAGAGGAAGAGAAAGTACCTGAAGTTAGGCTTCTGGAATAATACAACAGCAATAAGTGGCAAAGACCCCCACGAAGTAAATTCGTTCTTCTGCACAAATTTAGGGGTTGGTCGTTACAATGTGCCAGAACCTGCTCCTGATCCCCTTCTGCTGCCATTTCTATGTAGCGTGGCTCCTTCTGATCCTAAAGACGGTCCACAAGATAACTCTCTTGGCAGTGTTGCTGCCACTCCTGATGTAGAAAGGTAACTGTTGGGGAAAATTTATTTGATATGCAAACATATAATTATTCAGCTTTACTGAAAGTTTAACATAAAACAAACTGGAGTTATTAGTGCTAAATGTGAAATAAAATGTAAGCAAACTTGCAATTCCTACTAAAAAAGTGTACCTTTCTGTATTAGTTGTCACTGGAATGAACAGAGAATCTATGTAGGTGGTGTTCTTTCCTTCTTTCTCGACCCAAAGCAAGTCAACTTCTTGAGAAACCAATGTATGCCATTCAACGTAGATTCAGCTTCTTTCTGGTGTATCATGTTTAGTACCCCATCATGTTGAAGTTTGGACTTATCGTCTTTGGCATACAAGAAGACAGTGATGAAAGGGCAGTGATGAACACATTAAACATATGAAACAAAGGTACCATGGCTTGATATGTCCTGTGAATTCTACCCTCAGCCCTTTGAATTAAATGTTGACTGATGCCAAAATGGACCATCCTGAGGTATCATTGTTGTGGCAAACTATTGCTTACTTTGAACATGCAGGAGACTCTAGATTTATCATTAACTGATGCGTCAAGATTATGGATGTAAATTAGTCTAATTATATAGCTAGACAATAATCCCCCCACCCCCAACACACACACACACACACAAAAGAACAACTGGAGCATGAGCGAGTTTCAAGAGGAAACTGACAGTGCAATTCAATCATGGTATTGATAGTAAGATGACAGAAATCTATTTTCTTATGCAGCAGCAAAATGCCAGTATGTGATCCAGCCCTGGAAGAACAGTATGAAGAGAAAAGGCAAAGAGCTGCGTTTCTTCAAGAGCTTATTGCTTCAACTATCTTCTAAGATGTTCATGACCAGACAGAGGATCAACCCAACCAAGAGAACAGCTTTTTAGAACCTATGTACGAGAATAATGGTTCACGGGAACATATTTATAGGTGCTATATGTATTCCAGTACTTGCTAAAGTCTCGAATTATCTAATAACTTCATTCATGAATCATGGCTAGAAACTGTTTACATGAACACATATGCACTGCATAGTATTTGTATCCAAACAATGTAAGTGCAAATTGAGAGTTTTCAAGTGTATTGGTACTTTGGTGAAGTTCAGATAGTAGGGATTATGGAGTAATTTATTTTCCTTTCCTAAAATGTTTGTTCTATAAATTCTTCATTGACTGCTTAACAGAAGTTGATAAACTAGATTTAACATACACATTGAGTAACATTTCTCTTTATCTAAATGCAAAAGTATTAGAATTTGACATTCAAAATCCCTTGCAACTCATAAATCACCATGATAACTTTAGAAGGCCAAACTATCTTCACATTATTCTCTTTGAAACAAATTCTTCCTCAATGTAGTCATCGATATGTATAGGAAAATGTACATAAGTACATTTGTTTAAAGCTGTGTAGCAGAGAGACTAAACTTGATCATCATTTTCTTTATCAGTTTTCCAATTTTTGAAGGTGCTTAAATTTCACATATCATTAAAATTCGAGGTAGATTTTTGCAAATGAGGTACTACTCTCAATAGACGCATAGCCAAGAAACAAGCATGTTGGTCTACCAAAAGACTCCATCTACATTTTTTTAAATAATCGTGGTGTCTAGGTCAGCTTGTGTGCTCCTTGCCTAATTATATGGGGTACGTGTTAAGGGGTACACTCGTGGTTCTCCATTGCCCTTTCACTCCATACTGTACGTTTCAGTTTTACTGAACCTTTCTCCTTCAAGATGAATCAAGAGCGCTTATCTGATTCCATCAGCATACAGGTCACCTTTGATGCAACCCAAACACAAACACAAACACCAGATAGGAAATCCCTTTCAGTTTTGATTAACTCATCAACACAGCTATATTCTAATCATATCTAATAAAGCTTCTCCAAACAAGAACTCTTTACTCTGTTAATGGTTTCTTGCGATGAGAGTCAACTACATTCTGGGAACAGCACCTACCAAGAAATCCCACTAGTTGCTGGTGGTACATATGTTGTCAAGCATAACTCAAGGTAAATGGTTACCAGGAGACCAAGGTTTACAGTAAAAGATACATTCAATGATACCAAAATCCAGCTTGGTCTAACTGAATTTCGAAATAATTGGACAAGAGAAAAACCATTGATTCACTAATTCACTAAAGATCGTATCCTATAGTAGAACAAAAAGTACTCCAACAGTATACACACCATCACTATGATCATCAACAGGTAACTAGATGTATCAATCAATCTAACACACCTCAATCTCAAACTAGTTTCCACACATCTAGTGTAAAACAAATACAAACCAGATTATTCAGCAGAAAATATAACCCCGTCACCATGGATGCCTCAATGGCAAGTAAAACTGACAAGCACCAAACAGTGGACAACGAAGGTCCGTAGAAATATAACGGGCTTTTGTCCTTTGAAATATTTATGCACACTCTATTCTCATTATGTTACATTTTTTTTTTCAAGACTAGATTTTCCAGCATCACTCACCAAAATTCAGTAGCATCCCATAGTAACTAGCTCTTTGAAAAACAATGTTTCCAACAGTGAAAAGTAATGAGATCAATGGTATTGATCGCGCACATGCATTCAGCCAACATCATTTTCTAGCTGAATACAGACATAATGCTCCTTGATTCTTTGTTTCATCTTTCCTTGCCCAAATGGTACCATTGCATTGAGAAATAAATACCATTCTAAGTAGGTAAAATGAAAGATGTTCGAGGAAAGTGCAGATCCATGAAACTTACCTAAGCAAGTTAGCTATAACATTTCATGTACAAAGACAAAGGTCTTGCAAGTAATCCTATCCCTCTATTTTGTAGTTCAGCAATAATAGTTATGTTTGAGACGGCAAAAAGAAACTGATTGCACCCTCAGTGATAATAGTTGTGCTTGCAATAATGGCATAACTCGGGTGACATTGATACAAGTGGTGTATCAGGGAAACGGAAGAAAAATGTGGAGTTAACAAGATTTGCCATCATGAATGACATCAGACCAAAAATATTTGAAGAAATGTTGCTCTATCATTCATGAGTTGTGACAACAGGAGTTGTGCATGTTTGATTCAAAACAAAAGGGCTGCAAAGCTGCAGTTGATAGGGGCCCATAGGAAAAAGCTCTGCTCAACAGCTTGACTCACACCACTTAAAACAGTAAATATCAAACTTTATATAGCAAATTACATGCTATGACGTTCATTTTCAACAGATCTTACAAGAGATCAACTCAACATTAGAGGTTGGAATCAAGATCCATTATTTGTCCAGAAGACATAAACAAAACTGTCAAATCCAGAGGCATAAAACACAGTCATTCATTATTAGCTCAGCCTAGTAAAACATGCATGCTAGTAATAATAGCCAGCGAGAACATCTTTGAAGACAATTACAGCACCACACATGAAAAATGACAGCCAGTTGCGAGCATCTTTTGAGCATTATTACAGGAACAAGCATGAAGGATGACACAACAGACCATCTCATTTTGAGGTTAATAAGCAATAGGTAAATGACATTTTTTGTAGGGTAATTTCTACATAGCTCATCAAAACACATAAGACCAAGGACTGACAAGTTCCAACATAGAACCAACTGACCATTCTCAGATAGTTCTACTCGGGGATTATAAGCCACAATTGACAATAACAATTAATTATCACTAAACTAGTTCTAATGAGGTTCTACTACATACTACTTACACGGGAATCTCACGTCCATCAATTCTAGTTTCTAAACAACATGTGTTGTTAAAATAAAATATCTCAGTTTTCTTTTTTTGGGTGTTACCTAACAGCATCGATTCGTCAAAACAAATATCAAATGCACCTAATTTCATTGGCATGTTTAAGTTAAGTTTCAATCAAAAGTATGATTTTTTCCTGATGGAAACTAAACGTACACAAGATACAAAGTGTTCTCCTTCTTTTCAAACAAACAAACAAAAATTGAAGCAAACTCGCAAAGGTGCACTAGCATTGACTTATAACAAGATTTCTTCAACTAACCTATGATCTAAAAGAAAAGAAGTAACCAAAACGTTGCATATATGACAAGGGATTAAAAATATTGCATGACAAGGACCGGACCATTTTGAATGGAAACGCGCTGCTGCTCATTGATCACTCAAGAATTTTCTGAATGACACCAGCTCCAACAGTCTTTCCTCCTTCCCTGATGGCAAATCTCATCCCTTGCTCACAAGCCACAGGCATAATGAGCTCAACCACCAAGTTCACACGATCACCAGGCATGACCATCTTAGATTCATCTCCTTTATCAGTGGTAATGGAAGTAACCTTCCCAGTCACATCAGTGGTCCTCATGTAAAACTGAGGCCTGTACCCCGAAAAGAATGGGGAATGCCTGCCACCCTCCTCCTTTTTCAGGACATACACAAGAGCTTCAAACTTGGTGTGAGGAGTGATTGTTCCAGGTTTTGCCAACACCATTCCTCTCTGAATATCAATCTTCTGAATACCTCTCAACAACAATCCCACATTATCTCCAGCCATTGCTTCATCCAAAATCTTCTGAAACATTTCAACCCCAGTCACGGTAGTAGACCTGGTGTCCCTTAATCCTACAATATCAACGGTCTCTCCAACCCTAACAGTCCCTCTCTCTACCCTCCCTGTTGCCACTGTACCTCTACCAGTGATTGAAAACACATCTTCAATAGCCATCAAAAAAGGCAACTCAGTTTGTCTTTGGGGAATAGGAATATAATTATCAACATTGTCCATTAGTGTAAAAATCTTATCAACCCATTCATTTTCACCTCTCTTAATACTAGGATTTGCCATTAAAGCCTCTAAAGCCAAAAGAGCAGAGCCAGAAACAATAGGAATATCATCACCAGGGAACTCATAACTAGACAAAAGCTCTCTTACCTCCAACTCAACAAGCTCAAGAAGCTCTTCATCATCAACCTGATCTTGCTTGTTCAAAAACACCACCATATTAGGAACACCCACTTGCTTAGCAAGCAAGATATGTTCTTTGGTCTGTGGCATTGGGCCATCAGCACCGGAAACAACAAGAATAGCTCCATCCATCTGGGCAGCACCAGTAATCATATTCTTGACATAATCCGCGTGACCAGGGCAGTCCACGTGGGCATAGTGTCGGTTCTCAGTTTCATATTCAACCGTAGCCGTATTAATAGTAATCCCACGAGCACGCTCTTCTGGGGCAGCATCAATTTCATCATACTTCTTGGGAGTGGAATTACCCATAGAAGCAAGAGCCATGGTTAAAGCAGCAGTAAGGGTAGTCTTTCCATGGTCAACATGGCCAATAGTACCAATATTGACATGGGGTTTCTTCCTTTCGAATTTGCCACGAGCAGCACGGACAGTGAATCGGCGTTGGTGGTGGGTGGCGGGAGAAGTGGCGGCGGGTGAGTGGAGGAAAAGGGTAGAAAGGTTGGGGGTAAAGGAAGAGGATAGGATAAGCTTGGATGGTTTAGTAGCGGAAGGAAGAAGGGGATTAGAAGGGTTTAGGAGCTTAGTAGAAGAAGTGGCGGTGGCAGACGCTGCTGAAATTGAAGCCATGGCGGAGAAGGATAAGAGTGAGGAAGAAATTGGGGGAGGAATGAGAAGACAAGGGGATAACAGTGTTATATCCTTGATAGGAAAAAAATAGGGCCTCTCATATAGTACTCATTTTGAAGGGGATTTATTTTTTTTCTACCTATTGGATAACACACATGAAATCCAATGACACTTATATATGCTCAATTTTTAATTTATTTAGTATACATGAAGCGGTTGGTTGCTAACGAATTAGAATTATTCAGAAATTAGTTAAAAGAGGAAATCGATATTCTACCTCACTTGTATCTATATGTCAAATAATTTCAAGTGGATAAGCTTTGGCCTTGAATAAACAAGATGATTATGATCCATTTAGTTTTCATTGACCACAATAAATTTGGTGCAGATGCTATTTGCAATTTTCTTGGTCGAACGATTAGGCAATATAGTACATAAGTTTTGGTGATTTTTGCATCAGTAATGTCTTGAAGGTGAGGGCCATTTATGTGGCTAAAACTCAAGAAAATGACATGTGTGAAGGTTATATCACATTAGAGTCTCTCTTTGTTCCACGT